ACACAAGGAGCAGCAATTCTCAAATGATCCCTGTACTCTCAGACTCCGCCGTGCCTCCCAAAGTAGCGACAATCCCAGGAACAAAACACGGAGTTGCGATATTCCAAATGATCCGTTTACTCCACGACTCCGATGTGCCTCCCACAGGAGCCAGCGAAAGTAGCGAAAATTGCAGCCAGTTCGCAGCCACACAGGGTGCTGCGATGTCTCAAATGATCCATGTACTCCCCGATCCCGCCGTGCCTCATAGGAGCCCACGAAAGTGGCGAGAAGTGCACAATTCGCGGCCAAACAAAGAGCTGCGTGGACTCAAATGATCCGTTTACTCCCCGACTCCGCCGTGCCTCCCAGGAGCCAACGGAAGTGGCGACAGTTCCACAGTTCGCAACCACATAATTAAGCAGCTGCGAGGTCTCAAGTGATCCGGCTGACCCCTGACTCCGCCGTGCCTCCGAGGAGCCCAAGAAAGCGGCGGCAATTATTTCACTTTTTGCGGCCACACAGGGAGCTGCGAATCCCACCAGCCCTCTGGGCGTCGGTGGTTTAGAGCGTTTCCTCACTCCTCCTTCTTCCCCTTCGGGGAGGGGTTTACCCCTTCCCCTACCCCCTCCCCACTGACCTGGACAGGGGGGGCCGCGGGTAGTTAGAGCGTCCAAGACGGCCCAACACGGCTCCAAGAGGGCCTCAGGGAGCTCAAGATGACCTCCAAGATGGCTCAAGATAGCGCAAGATGCCTCAAGATGGTCCCCATGATGTTCCAAGACGCTCCAAGAACTCCCCAAGACGGTTCCAAGTGCCCACAAGAGCATCATTAGGATGCATCCAAGAGGCCAAAATGCTTCAAAACCCTAGGGAAAATCAATGTTTTTGGTGTTCTCACTGTTTCGCTTGCGATGCACATCCGACGCGTCAAGATGGCTCCAAGATGGCTCAAGATAGCTCCAAGAGGGGCCCAAGAGAGCCTCAGGATGGCTCCAAGAGCGGCCACGAGCGCTCCAAGAGCGATCCAAGAGGGGTCCAGGAAGCGATTTTTGGAGCTCCTGGGGGGGGGCTGTAATTAGGGAACCCCACTTCCTTGGCCGATGTCCTCCAACATTGCCCCAAGAGCGCCCCAGCAGGGCCTTCAAGGGCGCCCAGACGGGTCCAAGAGGAGCCCAAACCTCCCAAAACAGCTTCCCAAGAGACCCCCAAGAAACCTCAAGAGTCTGCCTGAGGCCATTGGAAAGCTCCCCAGACGTCTCAAGAGACTTCCAAGACTACTCCGAAAAGAGATCCTAGGAGGCTCTTATATCCCACCAGCCCTCTGGGCGTCGGTGGTTTAGGGCGTTTCCTCTTCCACCCTCCCTCTTCCCCTTCGGGGAGGGGTTTACCCCCCCCCTACCCCCTCCCCACTGACCTGGACAGGAGGGGCGGGGAGCGGTCAGAGCGTCCAAAACGGCCTCGGCGAGGAAGCCAAAATCATTGATTTTACTATGGTTTCGGCCCCATTTTGGCCTTCTGAGGGGGCAGCGCTAATTAGAGCTCCCCTCTTCTTTGATCGATTTCCTCCACGATGGCCGCAAGAGGCCCCCAGGATGCCCCAAGAGGCCGCAGGATGGCCCCAAGATGGCCCCAAGAGGCCCCCCAAGAGGCCCCCAGGAGGCCCCCAAGAGACCCCCAAGAGGCCCCAAGAGACCCCCCAGAGGCACCCAAGAAGCGCCCAGGAGGCCCCAAGTGCCCCAAGATGGCCCGAAGAGGCCCCAAGAGGCCCCCAGGAGGCCTCAAAGAGGATCCCGAACGGCCCACAGAGGCCCCCCCGAGGCACCCAAGACGCCGAAAAGCCCCTCAGGACGACCCTCTACTCGCCTGGGCGTCGTTTCTGGACGGGCTGGTGGGGATACGCGAAGCGTCTAGAATTTCCCAATGATCCGTTTACTCCCCGGCTCCGCCGTGCCTCCCAGGAGCTCACGAAAGTGGCGACAATTGCACAGATCCCAGCCGCCCAAGGAGCTGCGAGATCTCACATGATCCTTTTACTCTCCAATCTGTCGTGCCCCCCAGGAGCCCACGAAACAAGCGACAATTGCTCAATTCGCAACCACACAAGCAGCTGCGATGTCTCAAATGATCAGTTTTTTCTCTGACTCCGCCGAGCCTCCGAGGAGCCCACAAAAGTGGCGACAATTGCAGAGTTCACAACCACTCAAGGAGCTGCGATGTCTCCAATGATCCGTTTACTCCCCGACTCCGCCGTGCCGCCCAGGAGCCAGCGAAAGTGGTGACAATTGCACAGTTCGCAAGCAACCAAGAAGCTGCGAAATCTCAAATGATCCGTAAACTCCCCGGCTCCGCCGTGCCTCCCAGGAGCCCACGAAAGTGGCGACAATTGCAAAGTTCGCAGCCACCAAGGGAGCTGTGAGGTCTCAAGTGATCAGTTTACCCCCCGACTCCGAGGACCCAACACAAGAGGGTTAGGACGAAGGGCTCGGGAGCAGAACAGGCTGCTCGGGATGAACACGGGTCGAGGCATCTGGGGTCCCCGTATTACGCAAATCAAGACGTGTGATGTCTGGGAACAGGGAGGACGACGACGTCGACGAGGACGACGAGGACGACGACGAGGGCGACGACGCGGATGGCCAGGACGGGCGCGGCGTACGGCGCCGATGAATTTGGGCGTTTCTGGCCCCGTCGGGGGGCCCAGGGGCATCTGGAGGCCTGTGGACACTCCTCGAGACCTCCAGAAAGCTCCGCGCAGGAGGGGGAGTGAGGAGGAGAGAGACTGCGACGCGCCTCCCCCTTTTCGTTCGGCCTTCTGGGGCCCCCCTCGTCGCCACGTCCACGTCCGCGTCGAACTGCTGGTCGGAACTCAAGGACGGGTCGGCGGGGTCGACTCTGACCAATGAGAACATCCGCAGCCAGGTGGGAGCACGACACAGGGCCCTCCTCCCAATATGATCTCCCAGTCGTCTGGCTCATCTCGGGTCGGGCGAAAGGGGGGGATAGCAAAGGGGGGGTTTGAGAATCAGCTCACGAAGCTGATTTTCCTGGCGCCTCCCGGCGCCGGAGGCGGCTATGTATCGAGGAATGGGCCCCTCGGCGAGGCCGAAACCAGCTGCATGCAGCAAATATCGTAACCCCCCCTTTCCCAATCCCCCCCCTTCGCCCGGCCCGATCATCCAAAAGCCACCGTGCCATGAACGGGGGCCAGGCCACACCTCGCGGTCACAGCTGCAGGGCTCCTCGGCTTCGGGGCCGAGCTCTGGCCGCCGCTCGGAGGGCGCCCCACCTGCCCACGGGCTCGAGATCAGAGGCCGCAGGATCCAAATCGCGAAGATCAACCTTTGAGAAGGAGGAGGAGGATGAGGACGAAGACTAGGACCCGGGCCTACAGAGACCTGACACAATTTGTTGGATGTTCTCCACCTCGAGGCCGCTTCGGCCACGGGCCGTCAAGACATGCTTCGGCATGACAAACAAGTCCCAGGGAAGGGGTCGCCTGCCAGACTCGAACATATCACTTCGTCGGAGGTCTGGGTCATCCTCATCCTCTTTTCCTCGTCGTCGTCCTCCGTCTCCTTCTCCTGGAGAGGAGGAGGAGGACGAGGAAGAGGAAGAGGAGGAGGAGGAGGAGGAGGAGGAGGAGGAGGAGGAGGAGGAGGAGGAGGAGGAGGCCGATAAAGCGAACATCCCGCAACAAAAAGAACGGTTCGATGATCAGTTCGATGTGTGGTGCCCCCCGTGGTCTCTGAGCTGCACTTCCTGGGACCCGGGTGCCTGGCTGCTGTTCTTTTCCCCGGGCAGTGCCTGCCCCCAGGGGTTCTCTTTACCAGCCTTCCTCAAAATCATTGGGTGGGTTCCTCGGGTGTTCGCCATGCTGGCGCCCGTGCGGAGGAGGAGGAGGAGGAGGAGAAGGAGGAGGAGGAGAAGGAGGAGGACGGGGGGGAGGAGGAGGAGGAGGAGGAGGGGGGGAGGGGAGGAGGAGGAGGAGGAGGAGGAGGAGGGAGGAGGAGGAGGAGGAGGAGGAGGAGGAGGAGGAGGAGAGGAGGAGGAGGAGGAGGAGGAGGAGGAGGAGGAGGAGGAGGAGGAGGAGGAGGAGGAGGAGGCCGCTCGCAGGCGCTTCGTGGGCGCCCCGTGCGCTGGGCGGGGCCTTCCAAGGGTTCGCCGCGTGGGCGCCGCCCCGTGCCCGCTCGCGGGCTCGCTCGTGGGCGCCCCGTGCGCTGCACGGGTGTCCCGGGGGGTTCGCCTCGCTGGCGCCCCACACCGCAGACAGTACAGCCCACACACCACATAGCCGACAGCACACAGCCTGCGCCTCGTGGCCCACACCACACGGCACACTCACTCCACATACCTCGGATCGCACAGCTGGCACGACACAGCCTGCACCACACGGCTTGCTCGACACAGCTTGCAACCCACAGCTCACACCGCAACGCTTACATAACATAGCTTGCACCACATAGCTTACACAATCCATACATATATACATTTATATATACGTATATATGTGTATATATACAGTAAACCTCCACTACACTAACTCACAGTTTGAGGCCCACGTCGGCTAACATGCTATGGTAAAATAGCCTTAGCTTCGCTCTCAGACGCTGCGGCTCTTTAGTCAAAGCGTGGTAACCTAGAAAGAAAATACAGAGGAACGTGATGATCACTAAGACGAGGAGGAGGAGGAGGAGGAGGAGGAGGAGGAGGAGGAGGAGGAGGAGGAGGAGGAGTACTACACTGAGGAGGGGGAGGATACGGATGAAGACGAAGACAGAAGAACCAATATGAGGAGGATGCATAATGGGAGAAGGAGCAGGAGGGCACATTGACAACAAGAGGGGGGATCTGGCTGTTTGTGCTCCCGTAGGTGCTGCCATGTGCTGACCCGCCCACGGTCATGGCTGGGCCTTTCTGACCCTGCCTCTTAGGATACCTGAATTACCAGAAGGCTCTGAGAAGGGGCCGACCCCTTCCAGGAAGACCCTTGCCTTCGCAGGAGGTTCCCTCTGCTCACCGCTATGCGCATAGAACACTTGGACGCTACCACCCTCCCTGGCCAAGGGCCATCCTGGGCCCTGGCATGGTGGACACGCCCTCCTGGCCGAGGCCACGAGGGTCTACGCACCACCCGGGGGGCCCAGGGTTGCCCTGGCTAGGCAGGGTGGTTGTGGTGAAGTATACGGCAGGAGCTTTTGGGCTGCGTGTCGCGGCGGCGGCCACGGCGATGCGCTATGCCCTGGGAGCGGATCGCGTGTCGCTCCGCTCCATGGGGCGGCAGGCTCGGGAACGCTAACGACGAGGGCGTGCCGCGCCGAAGCGTGGGCCAGAACCGGCGGCGCGCCACGCCAAGCGAAGGCTCCTGGCCGGAAAGTGCCTTCTGCGGACGCCAAGCCTGGGGAAACCAAAAGGTACCGATACCGCTACTCCCCGGACCCCTCCCGGGGTGCTTTCTGATTCAAGTTCGGGGCGAATCCAATGGTGGCGACGAGGGCGTCCGAGGAGGCCCAAGAAGGCGGAAACGGTGCGAGGATAGCGGGATGGGTACCCCGTCCTCCTCCGAAAACCGCGGCGGGGAGTAAAAAGAACGCCGGTGTCCATCCAGATTTCGGCTGGACTCCGAGCGAAACTCGGCGCACACGTCAGCGGATGCGGCCGCCACTGGCGGGCGGCGCGCCGATCCAGAGGCGCCCATGCCAATGCGGCGTGGGAGCAAGCGCAGGGGGGCGAGATGGCGAGGGGCGAACATCAGAGGTCGATGTTCAAGAGCGGCGAACCTGCCCGTATTCGCGCCCTCGCGGTCTGGATTCCGGAGCACGATCCCGCGGATACGCGGTCGTACGGATCTGTACATCTATATCGATAGGTATATATATATATATATGTATATAGATAGATTTGTCGATATATATATATACATATATATAAAGAAAGATAGGGATACATCTATATATATGGATATTTCGATAGATAGATAGATAGATAGGTCGGTATGCCGATAGATATATGTATATAGATATGTAGATATATATATGTATATATTTATATCTACACACATATATCGGCACCTATATATAGATATACATATATACACATATCTATGTATATATATATAGATGCATAGACATATACACATATATATATATCGATACACATGTGTATATCTATATAACACATAGTTCGGTAGATATTTTTTTTTTTTTATATATATATATATATATATCGATATATGTGTATATATATATATATGC